CATCACCTTAAACGAAGTAGGGTAAATACATCTCATATTACAGATTTACTGGTAGTCTCAAAACTCTACTTACATACGAAAAATAAGTAATTTAGTCGATTGTTATAGCAAATATACGTTTGCTTTATCAACAATACCACCAAGGAATGTGATATGGGAAAGGACCTGGCCTTTCTTGTAATTCACATCTGCCCTGTGACTCAAGGGCACTCCTGGCAATGTGGCCGAGTGGCTAATGTGTCAAGCTCCAATTCTGTACTGTTACGGTTCGACCCCCGCTGGGGGTGCTGATAAGACCAATGCGAAGTCGAAACTGCAGTATACTTCAGCCTGGATGAGAAAAACTTTTGGGAAAGCAAGGCTATGCGAAATACAATGGAAATCTAATCTCTACTCATATTATTGTGGGAAAATTCCCCTACAGTCCTTCATCACTTTAAACGAAATAGGGTGAATACATTTCATATCTTTAAATAAAGATTAATATCACGCAAAGTAAAGTATTAATAAATATGTGTCTGCAATATTAAAATAATTTGATATAGAGGAGTAATATAAAATATTTGTTATACTCACCTATCTGTGGAAATAATAATAATTTCACACTTATACTAAACTAATAAATTAATTTAATTCTTCCTTTGCAAAAAATACCATTAAAGGAGGAATATAATAAAAATGAGTTTCATTTAATAGAAAAATTATTCAACCGAAATATGGGTTTATATTTAATATAATTAGTAAATATAACTAAAGAGTATTAGTTAATGTAGCCACACCTTTGGTAGTTTAAGCAAAGTTGGTAAGTTGATAAACAAAGAAACGCATTCATCTAAAATAGCATCCCTTATTTAGAGTATAATAATCAAATAATATATATATTATAAATGTACTATAACGACTTGATACGGCAAGGGAAGGTAAAAAAATAAAAAAATAATTTTCCATAATAGGGATATAATGCTTTATTGTGAGGATATATAACATAAAAAATTGCTTTTTATAAAAAGGAAATAATAAAATAATTTAGATATTTAAACTCTTATACTTTAGTTTAAAGAAATGTCATTTTACATTAGCATACTTCCTTCTTCTAGTAGGATTATTACCAAAAGGACATATAATAGGATTTAATGCTTTTTATCCACCTTTTGTCCACGTCTGCATTGGCGGACACCGACAGAACATAGCGACAGAATCGCCTTCTGCGACGTTGGCACGCCAACGGACGGGAACACGTGCGGCCTGAAGGCGAACGGCAAGGCGTGCCGGCAGAATGGCGAGGTCGAGGCCGGCAAGCAGTTGCTCATGATCGTTGGTGGGTGCGACGTCGACGGCGACAGTGAGGGCTGCGGCAAAGACATCTCGCAGAAGCGACAAAAGATGATAAGGCTCGCGTGTCTCCGGCCAGTCTTGCATGACGCCTACGAGTACGGCGAGGCTGTCAACAAAGAGGCGACAGACAAATTCACTTCTTTCAAAGTAGTCGGCTCCGAAGCGTCTGTACTCAAGCCAGTTAAGCACGCCGGCCCGTCTTGCGAGGGTCGGACTAAGGCCGATGCGGTACGTCCACGTGCAGAGGTGAGGCTCGAGGCCAGGCGGTCGGGCCACCTTCACAGCAATGGCGCGGCCCCGCGGCTTCCCGAGAAAATAGACGACGCGACAACGTACAACGGCCGGTTCGAGGAGAGTCGCCCTACCAGCCGGCCAGGCCGCCAACAGTTGGACGTCGTTAAGTCGCCGCGACGCTTGCAGACCAGTCTGTAGGCCTAATTCGTCACACCCGATTCCCATAGAGTTCACTCGCGGCAAAGCGCGCAAGGTCAGCGTCAGATTCGCCGTCGTCATCACCTTTTTCATTTGCCTCGTTACCTCTTTTGTCGCCAGCGTTGTCGTCATTTTCGCCGCTTCAGTCGCCATTTCTGTCGCTGTCGCCTCGGGCCCGGCCTGATTAAAGAAGGTGACCCGCAATTGGTGTCGCCCGACGTCGGGAAGATCAACGTTGTTTAAACGAACCGAATAGACGTTGGCGCGCCGGTCAGCCTGTAGCCGGGCCTCGGGGGCACATGTTGATTGAAAGCAGCCTGACGAACAGGTCAAGCCGACGTCGTCGGGACCGGCATGTCGACAGTCAACCAGCACCTGCTCCGTGGTCTCAACATGAAGCAGCATGAAGCTCTCCACGGCGTAGCCATGGCGACAGGAGAAGGCCAATTCCCAAGCCTCCGAGAGGATGGCGTAGTCGGGAAAGTCGGTGAAAGCAAACAGGTCGTCAGCTCGATGGGTAGAGAAGAAGAGAAGCCATACGAAGAGAAGATGTACGAGCTGGGCAGTCATCCGCTCGCCCTGGGCTCATGTCAAAAAGGCTCAAATTTTGCCGCCGGAAGGAGCTTAGTAAAATAGGAGTCGAATGAGAGCACTGCTCCCATGATGGCAAATGAACAAAATGACCGTTTGAATGGCCGGGAAAATCGATTTGTGGGACTACACAGGCCAAGATGTTTAGCGCGGATTCAGTGATAATTGTTGATAAGAGGTTATTTTTCATAATAAAAACTGATTCAAAAAGTCGAATTAACGTAGTAAAAGATTTGAGCGTACGTCTTTCATGTCATTTGTCAGGCAGTCAAATAATATGAGATGTATTCACTCTATTTCGTCTAAGGTGATGAAGGTAGTAGGATTTTCACACAATGATATAACTTGAGCTGACGTTTCCAGTGAATTTCACATAGCCTTGCTTTCCCGAAATTTGTTCTCATACAGGGTGGACTGCAGTTTTGACCTCGCATCGGTCATTTCAACACCCTCAGCGGGTATCGAACCGCGACAGTGCAGGATGGGAGCTTGACACGCTAACCACTCGGCTACACTACCACGAGTACTCTTGAGTCACAGGGCATAAGTGATTTTACACGCTGCACTGCTATTGTTCAACTCGCGCTTGGAGTGTTGATAAGACCTATGCGAGATCTAAACTGCAGTCTACCCTGGATAAGAACAACCTTTAGGAAGGCAAGACTATGTAAAATTCAATGGAGACGTCAGTCTGACTCATATCATTGTGGGAAAATTCTACTACCAGTCCTTCATCACCTTAGACGAAATAGGGTAAATACATCTCATATTACTGATTTACTGGTAGTCTTGAAACTCTACTCTAACACGAAAACAAGTGACAAGGTTGACCTTCCTTGAAATTCACTTATGCCCTGTGACTTAAGAGTACTCGTGTTAGTGTAGCCGAGTGGTTAGCGTGTCGAGCTGCCATCCTGTACTGTCGCGGTTCGACTTCCGCTGAGGGTGTTGATAAGACCGATGCGAGGTCGAAACTGCAGTTCACCCTGGATAAGAACAACTTTTGGAAAGCAAGGTTATGTGGAATTAAATGGAAACGTCAGCTCGACTCATATCATTGTGGGAAAATTCTACTACCATTCCTTCATCAAATTGGACGAAATAGGGTGACTACATCTGGTATTTAGTAACCGGAAGCTCACACGCTCTCAGGCATATACGTACAAAAAGACCCACACACACTCAACCGTAATATAAAATGTAATTACTTGCATATGTTTTACCCAAATCCTTTTTGTTTTGCATTTAATGAAAGTAAAAAAACGTCTTGTTAAAATTTGGGCAGCTCTTCTGATACCTGATAAAGGGCAGGACAAATGCAAATATATAAAATTTTTGCTGAAATGGAATTTATATTTTGAATATATTTTCCGTTATATTCATAAGTAGGTTTACTCTAATTTAATTAACTTTAATCTATGATCAACCAAATTTATTCGAGATTTTATAAATTTTTTGGGCTTCAGCCAAAATTTACCCACAACGTCATTTGCGATATCTTGGTATACAGCAATTATAGACGAAACTGGACCCATCCAAGGGATAAGTGATTAAGATTATTCTTACGATGAGACCGCTATAGAACCTAAAAAATCGAGGGTTTCACTAGGTAAAACTTTATTACCATGAGCATCGTTTTAATTCAGACCTTTGTCGGATACTTTTCCCTGAGAAATAGAAATAGAATATTTTCATTTAAAATTAAGTTCTATTGAATATATTATAGTAGTCGGTCAGTCTGAATGTTATCACGAAAAGCTTACTATACCAAAAATCATGTTTAAATTGTAATTATCATTCCCTTGGCTCTTATTTTTTTAGGGAGATAGCTTCTCTTTATAGATACGAAGAGAAACTGGGTTTCGATTAATCTCCTGAAATAACATTGTTAGAGGGACCTTTATTTCGTATGAAAGTGCATGAAGAAGATATTCGTTGGTCAATCTCACCAGATGAGGACGGATGAAACTCGTTGTACTGCAGCCGGTTGGATTGTATAG